CATACTGCTGCTGCTGCTGCAAATATGCAATGAATCCTTCCACAGTTAGAATTTCAGATGCCATAATCCCTTAGAGAATGTTGTCTAATTATTTTATTATGCATAATAAATGTAAAATATTTATTTTAGTTTACATAATTATATTAAAAATGTATGCTATTTATTCTCAGTCTTGTAAGACATCCTTCACAAGTCATATACTTTACAGAAAGGTGCATTTACGGAATTAATGCTGTTTTGCTGGCCTGGCTGTTTGTTTTATACAGCTTCTAAACCCTCTTATCTATGGCTGCAGAACATCACCAATCCCCTGGATGTTGCCCTCCATTCCTTCCTTCCCCTTACCACCATGGGTACTCTATGCAAAATTAACCATACAGCAGAATCCCAGAGAAATGAGAGTCATTTTGTTTAATTACAGCACAGGGATGGCACAAAGTACATTAACATTGTACCTGTCCCACACTTTCATGGTCAAAGTTGTAGCAATACTGTTTCTGTATCACGAAACTATGCCAGTGCTCCTTCTGAGCCCTGAACTCCAACAAATTTGACTGTGTGAGAAAAGCAGGGCTCTGCCTTTTGCCCCCCCCACTGCAAAACAATGTAATCCAGATCCATTTCGTACTGAAACATCCCCCTCACACACACCATGAACATAAATTATTATTTGCCTGAGAAGCTGTGATAGTTACATGGAGAGTCAGTACCAACGGGAGTTGAATTTAAAGCCTAACATGCGACTAAAATGAGAGTCCTAATTCTTTACTTTAGACACATGCACAAAACCAGTTCAGTTTTTGAAAATGCTGTATATCTGCATCTTTCATTGACATCATCGGACTTATGGGAATTTAGCACTTCTGAAATCAGGTTAAATTCAGGTGCCTAAATATGTTGCAGGTTTAGAAAGTCTGGCCACAGACTATACAACTGACAGATTTAGAAATCAGTTGAAGTTCCCAGGTGTGGTTCAGTTTCAGGAGGTTATACAGCTCTTCACTACTTACTGTGCCCATTACCAAATGCAAAGTGTATTGTTGTCAATATAACTCTAGGATTGTGTAATCTGAAAAGTTTAGCCACATAACACATCTTTTTTAAACAACTAAGAAATATAAAATAAGCATTGCGTATGTAATGGTGGTGTAGGGCCCTATGAGACCAATTCTGTATTATAAAATTAAGTTGAACATTAATTAGGAGTGAATGAATATTTTTGTATGACAAAGCACACTGACTTAAGAATGGAGAGACGCTGTGTGATTTGAAAAAGTATATGCAAAGGAAAATTATGCATATTTTTATCTAACTAGAGCAAACCTAAATTGAAAACACAAATGTGAAAAAATATAACCAAAACATTTCACAAGCAAATTTTTATATTTATGAATATATATATTTTTCTTCCTTCAAAAGGAATTAGATTTTAAAAACTAGACTGAAAATACAATTTCAAATTATGATCGTTACTAGAAGTCACATACTGCTATATAGAAAAGCAGATGTTCATTTCTTAAATATCAAGCAGTCACAGTACAAAAAGTAGAGATGGAAGGTAACATTTTTGGAAGAATATTTAAGTACAACCATAAACATAGATTATAAAAGCAACTTGTTAAAATAAATGAGCAAAATCTCCCATTTTCTTTTTGGGAATATGCATGCTATTGAGAATATATAATTTGTGAGCTAAAAATGCTAGGTTAGTTTATCATTCACTTCAGAAAACCACATCCATTCATGTCTTTTCCTAGTTAAGAAAAGAATTTCCCATGCTGTGGGTTATACAGGGAACAAATTCCCTTTTCTGTTCCATGCAGCCAAAATCAATCTTTTTTCCATAGTATCTTACAGCCTATTTCACTTGAGTTTTTAGGTGATCCAGATTTTTGTAACAGTTCCTAAATTCAGATTAGTTTCTTTTAATAGCTTTTCTTTCTGCACTTCTAGCCAGGGTTAGATAGCCTTTCACTCACTAGACTGGCAAGAGTTTTTCCAGGATGATTGTTCACAATTTCCTCCCAAGGAATTGAAAAGCTTGAAATCAGGAATCTCTAAGAACCCTCTGAGCACTGATGAACTGAACAGGTATAATTAAAATACCTTGTATTTAGACACTCTTTTAATTGAAGTGTCTCAAACTACTTTATAGAATAGAGAGATCATTTCACCAATCAGTGAAAGGAGACTTAATGGTAGCACTAACAATACTCTACTCCATGTCCATACACAAAATGAGGAATATTCACCTCGCTGAAACTACAAGTGTCATTAAAGAGTCTGCAGTTGCCAAGCAACACTAAACAGCAACATCTGAAGTAGTCTGGATGAACTTACAGTGCAAGGGCTGAGCTGAAAGCACCACTGTGAGTGGTGAGTGAGAACTCGACCACTAGACATGGGGGTGAATTTTAGCCCTAGGTCAGCAGATTTTAAAATCTTGATTCTATGTTTTCTGTAGGTGACACTCGCAAGAGTACATATCTGCTGAACTGGTATAAAGGAAATTATTTACAGAGTTGCTAACACCTTTCCATGAAAAGGGATAGCACTGGGCGAGTTGACAAGGAGGCAACATGCGATTCCCTTAAGATTATATTTTAAAACAAAAAAAGAGAGAGAAAAAAATGAGAGAGGTGGATAGAGAGCAAAAAATATACTTGCCAACAAGGCTGGCTAATGTCCCAGGACTGTAGAAACTGGCAGGCACAAGCAGGACTGCTCGGCTAATAAATACAGCAGCCCCTCTACAGCTACATAGAGTGCCTCATTGCCTCTATGAACTTGCAGCAGCAGCACCGCTCTGATTCCTGCATCCCTGCCAGATGTTTTTCAGCTGAGCTCAGAACAAATTTCCTGCAGAATCAAAGCTTCATCAGCTGGTATCTGTAGAGATCAGCCTCCAAAGATTAGGTCAAAATTGGCCTGCAAGGGATGGAAACTAACGTCCTATTACCATCAAACATTTATTTTTCAGTAATATAGAAGCAGGGGATGCTCAGAGATTTCTTGTTAATCCTGATAAAATACGTTATGCTTGCTTCTTCTCTAATAACCTCCAATATAACAAAATACTAGTAAAAAACTTGTCATTTCTTGGAATTTCTACCCCATACAGAAAACTGTCCATCCAAAAAATGATCTCCCGTCTTTCACTGAACAGAGTATTGAAGTTACGCATTTTGTCATACTGAGTGAGGGAATTGCATCCACTCATTGTCTGTGTGTAACAACCCCCAAACTGCAGACTGATTCACATCCTACAATGCTCCCAGTCTCTAGGGTCTTCAAGCCAGGAGCTCAAACCCACCATAACCCACCTCTCATTACCTAGTTCTGTAATAAGACTATTGTTCCAATTGGGATCGTTCATTAAAGTGGATGACCTGAAGATTAACCCTCCTCAAACAAGCAGCATCAAAGACAGCATTCCCTTTACCTTCATTGCAGCGCATCATGTCACACTATTGCTTATATGCTCTCACTTCACTCGACAGAGACCTTCTAACGCAACCATTCTGACAAACACAAAACCACCTCTCTTTCTTAGATGACCTACTGAAGCTGACTGAAACACTTCTATTTAAAAAAAAAACAACCAAACAACAAACAAAACAACAAAACGAGAGAAAAAAGAAAAAAGGCAGGGGGACTCTTAAGGTAACAGCACAGAAATGGAAGGGCCCCCCGAGGTTATCAAGTTCAGTTCTCTGCAGTTATAGGCAGTAATTTAATGGGTGCTCAATACAGAAGACTTCATAGAACATTTGCTCCACATGCACAAACCAATGCAACAAAGATTTTTGTACAGAAACTACATGATGGCTGCAGAAGCTTTCTGTACAGGAGCTCTCTTGAAAGCAGCTCATAAATAGCATGAAACCAGGTATTATGAGAGTGGCTAGCCTTTGTTATATAATCTTGTTCTAGGAAACTACATGAAAACTTATACTAAAAGAACATTACAGTTGTATGCTCAGCATTAGAAGAAAATAAAAAATGCTATAGTGGTATAATCAAATGTTTAACTTTCTCCTCTTGCGTTCATGCATCATGGCACATGTATCTAATTACATAATCATGCCATTTATCAAATATAATACTGATTTTTTAAAAAACTTTTTGGACGTCAACTCTTCCAAATTGCTTATGAATGACTTCTGTGAATCCTTTATAGTACACATAGACTAGCCACCTCACTGCAAGGTATTAAAAGTATCCAAGATTGTAGAAGTATGTTTAAGAAGAGTAAAGATTCATTTAAGAAGCAATATCAGATAATTTAATAAGTAGTCTATAATGAACGAAAGACACATGGGATGAGCACCACAGGTAATCTTAACTGTCCATTCATGTGATTTTTGAGAACTTAATCTACTGTCCTAACAGGATGGGGTTTAATGGTGGAACACGGGAGACTTTCCATGCAACCACCCTATGGCCAATTCTCATCCAAACAACTTGGCTGGCAAGGAGAAGGAAAACTGGAGCAGAAAAACAAGACTCTAGTTACAGCAGTGTAACTAGCTCCAGTTGCTTCCTGTTCTAATAAGTGTCTGGTGAGTATTTAGGCTGCTAAGCCTTTTAGGGGACTTTTCCTTTCTTGGTGAAATGGTTGCAACTCAACCGAGAAAAATTTCAAAACTGCAACTGATTTGAAAAGGCGATGGCAGATAAGTGGCCTCACCATGGAGAATTCTAACAGACACCAGAGCAGCTGTGAAACAAACACTCAACATTAGCACTGCAGTGTTACCACTAAAAGGTTTCCCATCATTTGTTTTTCTTTATAAAGTAATACCTAAATACTGAAGACTAAGTTTTTAAATTTAGCTCCTAATTTAATATGCAATTACTGCTGCCCTGATGGTGTTTTAATGGCAATATATTTTTATTGGTGACTTCAAATGAACCTCGTCTGATCACCTTAACCCTTCTCTCATCATGCTTTAGTTAATGACTCATTACCTGTAGTCACACCAGGGACATCTGTAAGGCTTTTCTCCAGTATGGACACGCTTATGTCGTGTCAGATGCGATTGTGTTGTGGAAGCGAAGTTACACTCATCACATTTGAATGGTTTCTCTCCTAGAAGGTGACAAGAGAAGATATGCATTATCAGTTTTCATCAACAGAAAAGGAAGAGAAGTCTAAATTTCTGGCAAATCCCCTGAGATAGATTTTAGTCCATGTATATATAACAACCACAAATACAAAATAAATTTCCAAATACTGCATACTAATTGCAAAATACTATTCTCACTATGACATATACACATCAGTAGCCAGCTGACTTCCCATGTGGTGTTACACAGCAGCAAAAAGGAGGAGAAAGAACTGCACTGAAACAGGGTAACCATGTTACTGGCCTTATTTCATGAAAATATCATCACCAGGTGACAGGCTTTCCTCTCACTCTACACCTTCTGTTGAAGTTGGGCCCATGTACAGCCCTGAAACAATACTGTTGGAGACAGAAGGTGAGAAATCAGTCTGAAGCTTGTATTCAGTGCCTGCTCAGAAAGGAACCATCCTGAGGAGGAAAATGTCTTTGTTTTTTGTCTCTGGTTCTAGATTTTCCATCTTATTCATTAAGTAATACACATAAACCAGGACTGAGAATATGAACCAGAACTCAGTGCTCCATTCCCCCTCTCTTGCCTGCTACCCTGCCCTGGTGAATCTTTTCTGAACAGTGGGCCAGTTTCAGCAGAAGGACTTGAAAGGTTAATGGGGGAAAAAAAAAACCCAAACCCAAACCAAACACCACCAAATCTAGACTAGGATAGTAATATTTTCAGAAGACTAAAATTCAATCTCTGCTGAATGTGGAACTGCACTGAAAATTTCCAGAGGACTACTAATTGAAGAAAGATAATAATCTCTAACTTATAAATTATTATGTGAAAAGGGTACCTTTCCTTCCAGCGGAGGGGTCCACCCCTCAGAAGACACTAGAACAAAATCTCATGACAGATACATATACTGTGATGCCTAGCTAAGACATCTGCATCCCATTTTTCCAACTGGTTGTTCCAGAAATATTCTGTGTGGCTTACAGGCACACGTAATTACCATTCAGGGAGGAAACAGATTTCTTTTTGTTTGCAGAAGACTGAAGGCAGCTCCTAACTTAGGTGATCTTGACTGCATTGTGCAAGCCTTCAGAAGTATTTATCCTAAAAACTACATATGGAATCAACATCCCTAACTTAAGTCTGAATAAAACTGCTAGGGATGGACACCGATCTTGTAGACTGTTCAGAGGTCTAGAATAGGCAGTTTCAAAATTGAACCCTAAGCCTCTTAGCAGGTACAATTTGCAGTTTTTCAGACTGACAGGAGACACACCACCAGCAGAAGACACATCACTAGCAAAAGGCCCCTCCCAAGCAGCCATGCCTCCAAGCCAGATTTTCAAGCCAGCTTAAAGCATGAGACACTCAAGACTTCCCAAGAGACTTTGCCAGAATTCTGAGAAGAGAGAGAAATCTGCATTTTTCATTCTTGGAGACAGTTGGGATTTTTTCCCTCCCAAGGGCAAAAGAAATGCAACGTCCTCAGGCCTGAAAAGCCTGTAAGGAAGGACAATGGAGCAGCTTCTGAAAGCTCCATGAAGAGCTGGAATAATTTCTTTTAGCAGCTGCTGGAGAGAATACCAGCTACTATTTTTCATTTATTGTTTCATGGGACAAGGAAAGGTGAAGGGGCAGGACACAATGCGGAAGCCTCTATGCTGGACAAATTGAGACTGCTAGAAAGTATGTCTTTCCTACCCCAAATGGGGTTTTCTTGTCAGACACTGACTCTCTGCTCTGGGGAAGCTGATTCTCCAAGCAGCTTGAATGGTACTGGCTGCTGCTTCAATTAAACTCTCTGGGAGGCCATAGACTCCCTAGCAACGTAACCTGTTCTTGAACTGAAGATTTCCTGTGCCTGATTTATTTTATCTTCTAGTATTAAAGAAGATAGCAACATTTTCAAGCCTAAGTAGTAAAGCCACAGGTATTTTAGATAACACACATACTTGTGCTTCCATTTAAAATGCATTAGAACCTTGCCAACTTGCCCCCTTGTAAAAAAAGCAGATCTGTACTGAAAGGAGATTTTTAGTTTGCCATTCAGGGGAGAATGGATCAGGTAAAGGTCTGCTGAGGTGCTGGGGCAGGGCCAGCGGGGCTGACAGACGAGCGAGGGCCCGTGGCAGCCAGCAGGGCTTGCAAATTCCATCGTGACCAAAAGAAAAATGATAATCCTTGCCCACTGCTCCATGAAATTTCTCCTTAGGAAATCCTTGTGGCTAACTGCTCCTGTCAAGTGGACTACGTGTAAATCTCACCTGGCAGAAAATACATCACAGCAGCACCACACAAGAAAAGCCAACTAAACTGGGAGGAAAAAAGACGGCCTAGCATGGCTTGTAATTCTTAGCAGCTGCACATGGGAAAAAGTATTTATTTTTATGGAAAATTAACCAGGCTGATAAGTACAGTTGAAAAAATCTAAAAGAAGACTAGGTATTTCTTTGGGTTGAGGGGTGTTGAAGAAAGCAGCAGCACTTTTATTTATTTGTTTATTTATTTAAGTTTTCCACAGACCTACTCATTTAAGTATTTTTTATCTTCTTTATCTTTGGGCCAGAATGCTTTTTATCAGCCTTTGTGTCCCAATTTTCCTTCCCCCCGTTCTGCCCCCAGATATTTCAAGCAATAAACTTAATTTTGTTTTTATACAGGCTGCCATTAAGTATTCCAGGAGGATTCTCCCTCACCCCCAGTCAAGGATCTAATTCATACAAAATTAAAATAACACAAATCAAAAAAGCAATATTAACAGTATTTTTTAAACAACACTATGTAATAACTATAAAATAGTGTATCCAAAAATGTGTGAGTAAGGACAAAGTCTACATATTTAAAGATTAATAAAGGTAAAAAAACCCCAAACCAGTCCCCCACCTCCCCTTACCATTACAGAAGACTTGTCCATACCTCACCATCTCTAACTTTATCAATAACAAACCCCACGGAAAAGAAGAATAGGTGCCCCAAAGGTCAACAAGCTCGGGGGGCGGG